GGGCCCCCCCCCCCCCGGGCCCCCCCCCCCCTTCCCTTTCAGGTGGTGGAGCCCCTCCTGTTGAGGCGTGGTTTCTCCTGCTCACCACAAGAGGGCGCCCTCAGCAAGGTCCTAGCGTTGGGAGGTGGTGGAGGCAGTCTGTATTTGTTCTGCCTTGGGCTTGACTCTCCCAGGGTCTGGAGATTTTGAACTTACAATCGAACACCTTCTTCCATTAACATCTGGTCCTTGGATACTAAGCCATGGACCATCTGAGATCATCTAACCTTGGTCGTCCAACCGTCTGGCTATGGAGGTTATTGAACCACCCCTCCACTCACTGTGCAAATGGCAAACCGAGGCCTAGAGAACTGTTGTGGGTCAGTGGCCCTGAGTAATCATGTGGCTGGCGTTCCGGAGAGGCTGTGGTGAGTCAGGTGAGCCCCTCGGTCCCCAGCTGTGGCCCTGCATCCTCAGCCTGCCCGTCTCCCAATGGCTCAGGGACCCATACCCACCCTTGTTGGACTCACTCATTGACCCTCTGTCTCCTGCTCCCCAGGTGACGAATGTGGATGATGAGGGGGTGGAGCTGGGCTCCGGGGTGATGGAGCTGACACAGGGCGAGCTGGTGCTGCACCTGCATCGGCGGGAGGCTGTCCGCTGGCCGTACCTCTGCCTGCGGCGCTATGGCTATGATTCCAACCTCTTCTCCTTTGAGAGTGGCCGTCGGTGTCAGACGGGCCAGGGTGAGTACCCACCCCTGCCCCATGCTACCTAGGGCTTGTGCGCCTGGGCCAGGTGCTGGGGCTGGAAGTCACAGCTCAGACTTGGCAGGCGTTGCCCAGCGAGGGGAAGGCTCATGGCCGGGAGCACCGGCATGTTAATACAGAACTAAGTGGACTCCCAGGCCAGTGCTCCTTCACTTAGCTCTGGCAGGGACCCCTTTGTAGGGAGGAGCTGGTGCTCTGAGACCGGAGCCTGCTGGGGAAGCAGCTGATGGCTCCTCCCTCTGTGACTCCAGTTTCAGGGTCCCTACGTAGGAAGAAACTTCCGTTTGAGCCCCAGGTCATGTACCCTAGGGCCCGTGAATAATGAAAAGCCAGGCAGGAAGCTCTGCCGTCCTCAGGGCTCTGTAGCCGGTAATGATCGATTCGGGCAGGTAGGTCTCTTGGGTCCCGGTGTACAAAGCAACCCTCACGCGGTTATCCGTCGTCACCTGTGAGCAATGGAGTGAGATGTATTCTTCCTCCTTCCCCTTCCTCCCTGTAGCCAGAGGTCAGGGTGTGGTGGGTTGTCCATGAGGTCAAGGCTAGAGCTCTCCATGGCTCTTTGGAGCAGTGGCGTGGGCGGGGCTTCTCTTTAGGGTTCAGATATCAGCTCTAGGACTGCGTTAAATGCAGTTTGGGTTGTGACTATGCAGAGGTGAAACGATCGAGCTCCTCTTATGAGGCTGCCAACGGACAGTGAGTCTCCGAGGTTGGGGGAGCCGCCGTCCCTCCGGCATCTGACCTTGGAGCTCATGAGGCAGAGACAGCAACACTGACTGAGCAGAGAGCGGGGAAGAAGGTGGTGTTTAGTCCATACTTGGGATCCTAGAGGGGCTGCCCTAGGCCCCAACACGGGGCTTTCCCAAAATTTGAGGCTTTCCCAGCCTTTTTTAGCCTTCAACATAGCTTGCCAGTATAGTCTTTTTTCTCTTCATCTTTCCTGTCCCATTCCTGCACACCTCAGATGTCCCATATCCCAGCTTAGCTTTATCTATCTTTGTTGTAGACACACACACACACACACACACACACACCAAGTAGCCTCCCCTGAGTCCTGGGCCCCACTGTTATGGGAGTGCAGAATCCCAGACTGACACAACATCCCGAGGGCAACTTTGGATCCCCTGAGTCACAGGTGCTCAGCCCCTCCTGCCGACCCCCGGACTTTGAGTTCCTGCATTCAAGTCTGAGAGGTTATGAGGCGGCTGCTCGGAGGAGCCACATGGTCGCTGTGCTGTGTTTGTCCTTTAGCTAGTCAGCCATCTTTCCTTCCTTTCTGCACCAGAATTTAAGTTCCATGAGGTCAGGGGCCTATACACAGTAGACGTTTGCTCTCTGGCCAGGATCTGGTCTACGTACCCAGTGAAGAAGCAGTGACAGGACAGACTCTCTACCCTCAAAGGGCTTTGGGCTGTTGGTCATAGAGCTGAGGGCTGGTACCCTGGGTGGAGCTCATTTTCTGGGGAGCCAGGGTAGTAGGCAGAGGGCGATGGGGCAGCATGTGAGGAGTGGTCCCTGATCTGATACAACCCTTTTTCAGTTTGATTTTTACTTCTCTTCCCCTCACCTCTGTGCACATACATCCTTATGAAAATGACTTCACCTCAGAGGAATATAGCTGAAGTATCAGATCTCAGGATGGTAATAGCTAGTGGGAGGCAAGGGAAGGCACCGAGCCCAGCTCCACCCATTTTAGAGTGTTCGGGGAGAGTGCTCCTGATGCGGGGCTCTTCGCACCCCTGCAGGCCTGGGAGTGGAATTTAGAGACATTTCCTGAGCTTTGTGCATCGGTTTAGCCTCTGTGGTCAGAGGAGCCTCATGTCTTCCTCTCCTGCTTCAGGGATATTTGCATTCAAGTGCTCCCGGGCCGAGGAGATCTTCAACCTCCTTCAGGATCTGATGCAGTGCAACAGCATCAACGTGATGGAAGAGCCAGTCATCATCACCCGCAACAGCCACCCGGCCGAGCTCGACCTCCCGCGGGCCCCACAGCCTCCCAACGGTGAGGAGACCCCGTCCTCGGTCCCCCACCACACATGCACACACACCTGTACACACACATGCATGCACACACACGTACACACAGAAGCACAGGCCCAGGAAGCACCAGTGTGGGGGACCCAAGTCAGACAGGTAGGTGGGGGATGCCTGGGTGAGCCAGCCTTCCAGGACCGGCAACCGACCACCATCAGAACCACTCGGGGATGGGTGAGGCCTGTCCTGGGCCGATCAGGTGACTCCCAGCTGAGCCTGGGGAGTCCTGGAACTCTTCTTGACTGATGGTCAGGGTGCAGATGTTGGGTTTCCATGGAAACAGCAGTCTGGAGCCTTTTTGCTTTCTTCCTTCCATCTACTGGGTCACACCCATATACCTTGTCTACCCATGACCAGTGTTTGGAGAGGTTCTCACAGCTGCTGCTGGTTCATTCCCTGAGTCCGCACTGAGCACCTGCTCTGTGTGCTGCACTCATGGCTGGCGGGTGCGGGCAGGAACATGGAAGCAGTCCTGCTTTCAAGGAGCTTCCCTTGAGCTCTTGGGCAGAGCTAGAACGAGGCAAAGGGACAGACCAATGATGGCAAGCGTTTTAGGGAAGGATGTGACCGGGGAAGTCACAGCGTTCAAGCTGTGCTTTGAGGAAGAGGATCTGAAGAACGGAGAGGTGAGAGAGAATGGGGCTGCTGGGGCAGGAGGCTGATTGCTTTGGAGGCCTGGGGAGAGTCCCAGGATGCTGCACATGCGGTTGCAGGTGGTTGCAGGACCCTTCACCTGGGCTTGTCCTCTGTGCCCAGCTCTAGGCTACAGTGTCTCCAGCTTCTCCAACGGCTTCCCTGGATGCCCAGGAGAGGGCCCGAGATTCTCGGCACCCCGGCGCCCCTCCACAAGCAGCCTTCGACACCCCTCACTGGGAGAGGAGTCCACCCACGCCCTCATTGCCCCCGATGAGCAGGTGAGCAAGCAACTGACCCACCCCTCTGTCTTGGTCTGGGTGGGAACGGAGGTCAGGAAATATGACACCTTCTCCCAGTAAGAATCATGGCGGGAAGAAAATCTATAGGGTCCCTTCCGGTTCCCAGAAAGGGAGGCAGCTGCCCTGGAAGGTTTGGAGGACAAGGAAGAGGAGAAAACTCTAGCTCTTTCCCCCGTGCGACTCGTCTCTCAACCTCCTGCCCCTTCTGCTCTCCTTCCTCCCTGCCCTTGGACCTTCCTGCCTCAATTGGACTCTTTCCCCCTAGTCCCACACTTACGTCAACACGCCGGCCAGCGAGGATGACCACCGCCGGAGCCGGCACTGCCTGCAGCCGCTGCCTGAGGGGCGGGCACCCTTCCCCCCACGGGCCCCGGGCCCTGACCAGCGGGACCCGCAGGTGTTCTGGCAGCCGGGCCAGGTGAAGTTCGTGTTGGGTCCCACGCCTGCGAGGCGGCACATGATGAAGTGCCAGGGTGTCTGCCCCAGCCTTCGTGACGCCGCTCACCACAACAACAACGAGGGCCCTTCCGAGTGCCCGGCCCAGCCCAAGTGCACCTACGAGAATGTCAGCGGGGGGCTGAGGCCGGGGGCCAGCTGGAGACTGAGCCCCGAGGAGCCAGGCTGGAATGGCCTTGCCCACCGCCGGGCTGCCCTGCTGCACTATGAGAACCTGCCCTCCCTGCCCCCCGTGTGGGAGAGCCATGCCCAGCAACTGGGGGAGGAGGCCGGGGATGACGGGGACTCCAGGGACGGGCTCACACCCTCCTCCAATGGCTTCCCCGACGGCGAGGAGGACGAGACCCCCCTGCAGAAGCCCACCAGCACCCGTGCTGCCCTCCGCAGCCACAGCAGCTTCCCCGTGCCACTGACGCGCTGCAGAGGCTCCCCAAGGGTCTTCAACTTCGATTTCCGTCGGCCGGGCCCCGAGCCGCCGAGGCAGCTCAACTACATCCAGGTGGAGCTGAAGGGCTGGGGTGGAGACCACCCCAAGGGGCCCCAGAACCCCACGACCCCCCCAACCCCCCTGCCCACCACCCACCCTGCCCGCAGCTCAGACTCCTACGCCGTGATTGACCTCAAAAAGACCGTGGCCATGTCCAACCTGCAGAGGGCTCTGCCCCGGGACGATGGCACCGCCCGGAAAACCCGGCACAACAGCACTGACCTGCCTCTGTAGGGGCCTCCGCCGCCGCCGCGGGCCAGCTCCGCCCACGCCTGTCCTCCGAACCCACACACCAGGGTTCAGGGGTGCTCTGCAGAAGGCACTGAGGTGGGGCCAGATGCCTCCCTGTGCTGGCCAGAGTCCCCAAAGACACCAGCCACTGAGTGGCCTGGTCTCCCAGCGGGGAGAGGAGGTGACCAGGTGAGGAGGGAGCCGTGATGGAAACTGTGAAGGGCCCTGTGACTGCATTTAGCGCCCTCCCTCACGTCCATTTGTCTTGTCTGTCATCTGTGTATTTTTTTGGTTGAAATTTTGAAACATTTTGTACCTGTTGATTTTATTTATCAGTTTATTTTTCTATTTATTGTTTCAAATGTAATTTAACATATTTATTATTAATATAATTATTTTTAAATTCTGGCTTGGTGAACGATGTCAGATGCTGAGGGAGTCTTTTCTGGGATGGTTCTGGGGCGGGTAGAGGAGGCCTGAGAGAGGCCGGGGCTTCATGCTGGGCAGTTTGGGGCAGTGGGGGCGGGGGTGGTTTCTGTGATAAGTCTTGGACCATTTCCTTTTCTCTTCCAAGAAGCCTCTCCCACAACTTAGAGTTGCCGGCGGTGGGTGCTCCGTCACAGTCAGGCACTGGGGTCCCAGAGGCAGGAAGGGGGTTTGTAGGGAAAACTGCCTCAGGGAGTTAAAGCCTGGCCCGCAGGTGGGCAGTGGCCGGTGGAGGAGGGGAGGGCTCTATCACATTCACCTTCTGGAACCCTCACTGAGTCTGCCTTCTGCTCCCAGGTGGGGGACAGTAGGTACCGTTCTCCTTTGACACCTGGGCCCGAAGGTGGACCCTGGGTCCTCTCGCGGCGGCCCCAGCGTGGCTCAGCCAGGCTGGAACCTGTAAACAGGCCCTGACTAAAAGCCCAGGAATAGCAAAAGGGCAAAACACAGCGTAATATGTAACTAAGTAATCTGGCTCGCAAAGTGTCACTTTCCCAGGGAACTGCTCCCCGGGAATGGACGCCTCTACCCTCCCACAGGGGTGGGCCTGGCAGAGCCTGCATGTGAACACGCCTGGGAGCCCAGGGTCTGCACAGGCTGCACACGCCACCCACCAGGGCTGCTGCTGCGGGAGCTCCTTCCGGGCCGAGGCTGCCTCTCCTCTTCCTCCTCTCGCTGGCCTCCCTGCTTCCCAGACTCCATTTCTATCCCAAGCCCCTGATGGTTCATCTAAAGGAAACCCAGGGACTTAAAAGCCACTAGAGCCCAGATGAGGAGTGGGAGCGAGGCTTGTGCAAGACTTGGGGACAAGCCTTCTTATCTCTGGTCACCGTGGCCCCTCTCTGTCCTACAGAGAGACTGTCCTCACCAAGGAGACAGGCGCAGCTCACCGATTCCCTCCCCTCCTCCTGCCCCCAACACCACAGCCCGACCTCAATTCTGAGAGCTCCTTTTCCTCGGGACGGGCATTGAGCTGACCAGCTTCCAGACCCGCTCCCTGACCTTGGGTGTCCAGTGAAATGACTGACAAGAACTGACCACAACAAGATGTGAAGAGGCCCTTCAGCTGGGGCCCAGCAGGGGCCCAGGGTGCAGCTGCTGCACCCCCAGAGCTGGCACCAAACCCTCCTCTACATCCTTTTGATCTCTGGACCAGAGGGTCACCGCTGCAGGCTGGGTTCGCTGCCCGGTCCCCACAGTGCATAGGGGCATGCCGTCCTCTCTGCAGCTCAGCCAGGCGCTCAACCCTGCTTCCTCCATGTCCTCCCACGCTGCCCCTGCTCCGCAGCCTCCACAGCTGGGAGTGCTGGTCTCCCCAAACAGGAGAGCCACGATGCGGGGCAGTATGGCCGTGCCAGTGACTCAGTTTGCTCAGGCTCCCGACATGGTCACTCGCGGGGGAGCCAGAGGCTGGGTTCTGGTTCTGACCCGGCTGTTACCTCTGCTCTCTTGAGCATTTGCTTACCTCATATGGGCCTCGGCTTTTGCTCTTGGAAAGCATGGAGCTGGTTGTGAGAAGTGGCCAGTGCGATGATGAACGCGACACCACTTTGGAAAGCAGAGGGACGGACGGACGGACGGGGCAAGCTGTTAACCACCCAGCTGTTCCTGAGGGAAAACAGCTGGAAGTCCCAGCGCCTGGCTCCCCAGACCTCAGGCTTGTTGCTGCTCCTGTGCTGAGCAATGCAAGAAAGAGCCTCATTCTCTGGGGTGGCCAGATCCTGCCCAGACCCCTGAAGATCCCCCGGAGCAAATCAATTGCTTTATTGCACATGTTTGTGGGGCAGGAAGGGGTGTCCGGACACATGTCCCAGGAATTGCTCCCCGCCCAGGGTGGCCGCCAACCTTCCCTGTCCCCTCCCCAGGTCCCTGCCTCTGACCCACGAGGCTGCTGCAGGAATTTTCCGCCGGTGGGTGGGTGGATGGTTTCCTGGTAGGAAGGGGCGGTGGGAGCCATGCCCAGGAGGGTGACCACTGTGTTGGAGCCTGCCCGGCTGACGTCAGGGCGTGGTGCGCAGATGGAATCCGTTTGTCCAAAGATCATCGCTCACATCGGTGGCTGTTTGCTGAGTGCTCAGTTCTCCTCTTTAGAAACAGGCCGCCCCACTCCCCGGGCTGCCCTCGGGAAAGGAGAGGAGCGGCATCCTGTCCAGGAGTGACATTTCAGGTTAGACGGGAGGGCCCTTCCAGCCCACCCCTGGGTAATGATAGCACTTTAAAAGGGTATAAACACAGGCAGCTCCACCACTTATCTCGGGCTCACTGGGCTGGATCGTTATCAGCGCTGTGCAGAGGAGGAAGCAGGCCAGGAGGTGAAGTGACTCGCCTGGGGCCATGCAGTTAATTAGTGGCTGGAGCTGGGGCTGCATGCCAGTCGGAGCCTCTGGCTGCCGCAGCTCCCAGCCTGGCCTGAGAGGCTGTTCCCTCGGGTGGGCTGCAGGGATGGCGTGTTGGGTGCTGCCCACGGCAGGAGGGAGCTGCAGGGCCACACTCCCACATTCCTGAGGGCGCCCACTGAGCGCATTCCCAGCCTGGGCCTTGCCTGGGCAGCACCAGGGGAAGCTGATGCCCCCTGGGGCCTAACCAGCACCTAGCCCTCCCCCTGCACCCCTCACCCCCCCACACACATGCTCTCCTGATGCCTTTCATGCTGTCGATGGGTGCGCTCACCTGCCCCTGTGGCCTCTCCTGCCGGCCTCTCAGCTTCACAGGAGGCTCCCTCAGGCCAGGACCTCCCTGGGCTCTGGGCTGCTCTCAGACCAATATCTTCAAGGGGAGTCCTCCTCACAGGTGGAGGGGGTTATAATGAAAGACCCCTGGTCCTCCGGAAAGGCTTGAGGACGGCTGGCAGGGAGGGAGCACTGAGGCAGGGGTGAGGGGCAGGGTGGGGCAGGGGTGAGGGGCCTGTGTGGGCCGCTCAGGGCTCTGTAACTACAGAATCAGAGTCCAGGATAGAAGCTCGCAGGTCAGCCGAGCTAGGTCCCACCCGGGGATCCCTTTCAAAAGGATGCCTAGAGATGTTCGTTAGGTTTCTGCTCACACGTTTCCTGGGACGGGAGGCTCACTACGTCACGAGTCCTCTCTCCATCCGGGTCACCTGATGTCCTTAAACTGCCTCTCACTGGGTCCTAATTCTGCCCTCGGATCTACACACAGCCCAGGGGGCTGCACTTTGCTACCTGGCATCACCACCCACTAGCAACTTGGCCGCCCTGCGCTTCAGTTTCCTCATCTGCGACACGGGGAGGGTAACCGCTCCTCCTCAGGAACGTAGTGAGGATCGAATGCCTGCCCGTGGGACCCGTGGCCGTGGGCCCGTCCTCAGTGCTCAGTGAAGGGCAGAAGTTTTCACCTGCACGTGGTTCTCTCCTTCACAACCAGGGAGCCGTCCACCCTCTGTGCTCTCCTTCGACGACGCGTCGTGAGCCTCACCTGCCTCCGGCCCAGCAGCTTCCTGTTGTGGACGCACTTCTGCTCCTGCTGCCTGAGTCAGCATCCCATGCCATGGCCCTTCTGGCTCTGGGGACTTTAGAGCTGGCCTGGTCTCCCCATGCCAACACTTGCAGTCCTCGGCCCTGAAATCAAAGTCCGAACTGTCCACTCGTGCAGGTGACATTTCTTGTTAGTCTGGGTCTGTCCTGACATGTCGGCCCCGGCTCTGGCGGTGACGGTGAGGAGAGCGGAGCCGGGGGCTGGCAGCAGCCAGGAGAAGGGTCTGGGAGGAGGCTCCGAGGGCCGGGTGGGGAATGCGGGTTTGCTGGGGCCTCAGCTTAGCTCTTCCGGGAGCTTCACTCTGCCCACCAGCAGTTGGTAGAAGTCTCCCCGCCTCTTGCCTTGCTCACCAGGTGGACCCTTCTCTCGAGGTCCCAGTTGCTCCGGGGTTGGCCATTCCTGCCTGTGGCCCCAGGGATGCCCGTGGAGAGGGGCTGGCGAGGTCAGCACGAGAGCATGGCGCGTGCTCCAGGTGCAGGCTGTCATTATGCTCATTCCAAAGGGACTGTTAATATAATGACCGAGTTCATGAGCAGTGCAGGGATGGGGGAGCCTTCACCCCACCAGGTGCCTGCTGATGGGTGGGGAGTCCGCAGCAGTCTCTTCTCCCTCTGGTCTGCCCCTCCCTGCCACCTCCCTCCACCTGTCCCCCTTTAGTCTCACCCCATTTCCCTCTGGGTGAGAGGGTACCAGAAAGAGTGTGGCCAGACAAGACGTGGGGGCGAGGAGGTGGGACACTGGGGACCCTGGTTCTCTGGGGAAAAGGAACGTAAGTGTAATGAGACCACTCCTCTCGATCGGGGGCTGCCTGGGCCGGGGAAAGCGAGGAGGGCTTGAGAGGAGATGGGAGAGGGGGTGGAGGGCAGGGGGCAGCAGGCTGAGTTGGGGGGAAGAATCCCGGGTGTTATTTGAAGCTCCTTGCCTCACCGGCCCGGGGCTGGTTCTGGCCTCTTTCCTTATGGAGCTCATTTCCTCCTGGAATTAATGGGCCTGAGGGACCTATCAGTGTACGCAGTGAGTGCCTGCAATGATGCACAGCCATACACGTAGAGTGGCCTTGATTTCCCAAGCAAGCATCAGGCACAGCGGGTCCAGGATTCAAAACCCGGGTGGTGTGGGCTGAGTCCTGACGAAGCCCTGGCTCCCCAAAGCTCACAGCCTCGTTGGAGAAGTGAGGCTCCCACGGGACAGGGTTATGGAACGCGTGCCTCTACCATTTGATCGCTGTGTGACCTCGGGCAGATCACTCAGCCTCTCTGAACCTGCCTCCTCCTCTATTAAGGGAAATAAGAACATGCAATAAAGTGCTCAGTGGGTGGTTGGCCCAGAGCCCAAGCCTGGCTCTGTTATGGTTGTCATAGCAACAGCGGGTGATGTGGGGAAACTGGCTGAAGGAGGTGGACCGTGAAGGTGGAGGAGGGTTTGGGGAA